TTTACCTTTAGGGTAATTCTTCCAAGAATAAAAACACAGAATAGAAAGCTACAAAGTTATAAAACTATAAAACTGTAAAGTCTATCCTTGACGTAAGGATACAAAACATTTACAAGGGTCTAAAAGTCTCGAAATTTTATTTCCTCTTTAAAAAAAAGTTAAAACCCTGTAAAAAAAAAAAAAAAAAAAAAAAAAAAAAAGGTGGAACCAAAGGTAAACGCAGGAGATGTGAAATGAGCACAGATTTTACGGCTGTTTTTCGTATATAGGATAGCTGATAGCAATTAACACGAAGCGATGTTAGTGGTTCCGTGATCTCGATCACGATCTGGCAAGTTACCGCGTTTGTCGTGCGAACCTGACCTAGCGTGTTAGCCAGTTAAATTAAAACTCGTCGCGTTTCTCTATTACCAAGCTACGATGGATTTCCGAGCGCGCAACCATGCATTAGCACCACGCGGAAAGCCGAATTACTCGGCGACAATGGCAATGAGCACTCTGCTAATAGTAATTCGAGAAATCAAAAACACGTTGAAATAATTACCGTGAAAAATTCTTGAAAATTATTACGACTTTCCTTCTATTCTGCAAATAGACAGAAAATCGTGACTGGGATGGAATACTTGATGAAAGTGTTGACGAGAAAAAATTTTGATGAAAAATTACGAATCGTTCTTAGCACTTCGCCAGTTGCAGCTTTAGAATTCGTGGAATGAGAAACATCCGAGTTCCGATAACGGGACTCCGATGTTCGGAGTGATCGTCGGTATTGATATTAATTTCTAACGAATCCAGTCGCACGCATCTATTCGTGGCGCGAGGTATCGATCGATGGAGTCGGATAGTGAATTATTTGCGATGCCAGACACGCATGAATCGCAGGCACACACGATCAACGGTCACATTTCCGCCGTGGAAACCTTACTCCGGATATTTCGGGAGTGGAGATTCCTAGCTCCGCGTTTAAACAGAAGCGATACTATTCGAACAGCATTTCTACACTTGTCATTGATTGCGTTTTCCGAACTGTCGGTCGTACGTTCCACTTCTTCTCATGTATCCGGTTGATATTTTGTAGGGTAACGCACTTAACGTAACCGCTCTCGATAAAACTAATTATGCATTGTATAAAACCAGGTTACATGATTTCGTTCATGCGTCCGCGATACTGTACTTGGAATTTTTTCTTTCTTCTTTCTTTCTCTCTCTCTTTTTTTTTTTTTTTTTTGCTTCTTGTTCTCTTTAGAATCAACAATTTATTTACATTACGATGTACAATTTGCATGATATCACAGATTCAACTGATAATTTCTTCTAGTAGAATTTTAATAAAACGGATATTGAATTAAAATGATTTTTAAACGTCGTTTATATATTTTAACCTTTGGTTTTTCATCTAATACTAACGTGTGTATCAATTAACCCAAAAAATCGATAAAAAAAGATGCTTGTACATACATGTTCTTCATTTCTTGCTCATAATAATAAATTTCTACTTGAAAGTTGAGCATATATGCGGTACCCCTATTGGAAAAGTTATTTTAACTGTACTTCCGTAACATTATGCGGTATTTATGATATACTTTCTAAATTTATTCTATTGAGAACCGTTTCCACTTAAATATTCAATGGTAGTTTAACTGTCTCCAATTGGTGCCCATCCATACACATCCAGCGACATGGACATTTGCTGACATATTTAATATTGACACATACAGATATATACATACGTCGGTGAACCAACAGGAAAGCCTATGATGGTCATGTTACTCAAAATGCAGCACCAATCGTCTATAACATGCAACAATAGTTCGCTAATACGACTTTTCCACATGTTTTGAGTTCCAAATATTCCAATTGTTGTTTCAGAATTAGTGTTTTTCAGTTTAATAATTCGTAAACTGGAATTGGTGTGCAAAATAAGCTCTAATAAATTTTACTTCATTACTTTGTGTAATATATGTGATATACACGAATGAAATAACGGATTTATAATTAAAAAAAAAGAAAAAAAAACTGAAAAATAAATGCAGCTAAATTCATATTAAATACCAGTGCGTGTCCTAATTTTCATAGCGGATATTAATATTAAAAATTAAATAAAAAAATATATAAACTGCAAAGAGAAAAGCTCGTGAATGAGGTGCATGGCAAGTTTATGACAACACGCAGGAAATACTCAATGATCCTCTCTATTAAAAATTTTTCATTACAGCAATTAACATCTACTACTTTTTATCACACACTGGTTGCAATGATTAACACGTTAGATTTAAACACCGAGCAACCTCGATCGGCTTTTCAAGTTTCGAAATAATTATGGACAGAAGCGTACATGTGTATTATATATTCTTTTGTCTGGTACAACTAAACAGACAGTGTACACTTAACCCATTAAGGATTGACTCGCTATGTATACTTCAATTTCTTTTTCAAAAAAATGCGTCCTTCGGTAAAATATGCGTAATGTTGAAATGTTTCAACTATTTTTACAAAACCACATCTGTATTATCATCTGTTCTATTGACGCGTGCTAAAGCGTAATTACAAAACCAACGTCATTGTTCTGGTTTGTTCGACAAGAGGATTCGATTACGCGATAATTATCTAGGATATCCCGATGACCGCATGCCTCTTTCAACTTCCATGTTCGTTAACCCTCGAACGGTGACGGGGTCATTTGAATATAAAAGGAGTTAATTTGAATATAAAATTGTACACACTTACACAAAGTGAGTAATAATAGTATATAGTATAATAATAATAATAATATATAGTATAATATAATTTTTCGTTCGACTTCTATGTACACTAGAATAACTATAAAAAGTTAAAATATTCTGTCGAATAAAAATCTAACATAAAAGTTCTTCAAGCTTGCTGTTGTTTGCAATTATAAGACAAATACACGTTGATAAAATAAAAAAATCTAGCAGAAAAGTTTGCTTCTTGGTACGTTGGAAAGAGGAGTATACTGGCGTGCGAGTATAAAACTACCCGGTAACCGAGGGTTAATTCGTCGGCACGAAATAATGTTGTCGAGAGCAAATTGGACCACGCGTTTAGCCTCGAAGTAAAACAGACGGGCCGATAAAAAGAAAAGAAAAGAGGCGTACGTGCAAGGTGGAACACTTTCGCGACGAGAAGGCCTCGGGCAACGCGAGTTCTGCGAACAAGGAGAGGTTCTGAAGAGTGCAACGATTTCTATATGGGCCACGAGAAAGTCACTAGCGCGTGTCGCTGTTTTTTCTTTCCGACGGTTATCCGACCCTTTTGCACTTTCGCGGTCAAACGATACTCTTTTTCGGCTTCTTTAAATTAACCTTTACGAGACGATAATCGATGACTCGATGTTGCGCGCAGCTGAACCAGATCGGTGTATCTCCAAGCGGAAGTTTACGACGACTGATAAATATAACCGAGGTAATCCAAATGACAAACGAGACGAATGCTCAAAAACAAGGATTACAAGTAGGAAATACACGTTTGTTAATTTATCGGGTATTGTTAATTCGTTCATTAACGTTGCGATCTACGTACACCGTCGAAATTATTTCCTTGATATTACGAGAGTGAGCTTCAATCAAACGAAATGATCAAATTATCATATATGTATCTGTGACTGAGTAAATTCTACGCAATGCAATTTCTGTGAACGTAGCTCTGATCATTTTCACAGGCTTGCTGCAACATACGCATGCTCTACTGGCACTCTTTCGTAAAAATTTTACATAAAATTCAACTTCGAATTTAAAAAAGCAATAAAACGTACGTCGCAACGTGCAGATCGTATTTATAATCGAGACGTAGCTTTCACGCATTAAAAAGTAACGACATAATGATCATTTGAAAGAAAATATACATCAAGCGATGATCTCTAACGTAAGTATAGCTCGGGTCTGGTAATTTTAATCTCACTCCATCGTAAAAAGTGCCAATAAAGACACGCGATTGCATCTGACGCGTGTGCAACTGTGCATGACCTGTGTTGCGATTACGATTCCATGAAATCAGCAAATTAACATGATTGCCTATAAAAAAACAAAAAAAAAGAAAAAAAAAATGCGGACCACGCTTAGTCTATGTTACGAAACGACATTAACTGCATAAACGTGTAGCTCTATTTAATTGTTAAAATTACACGTTTACTTAAATAATGTATTTAAATAAAAATCTACTTAACTAATGATTGTGAATATCGTACGAACATCTTAATCATTGAGTTCACATCGATACCGATCTCTGTTTATGGTATACTGACAAAACTGTAATCGAATTCGTGGAGAAAGTTGACCGAAATCACGTAAAGCGATTCTCCTTGAGAAAACGAATGTCCGTTTTAAGCATGTGACATTGTCGAAATTCTCACGCTCGAACGGACGACCTATGGAGAATCAAATTGCGGAAGCACTTCGAGTGCAGTTGATATTAAGTAAAGTACCTATGTGCCACGGGTGATATTTAAGACCGGTATTACAAGTTAGGATAACACCATCGATATGCCTTTCCATGTTGTTTATTTGATAACGAGAATACATCAACTAAAAGCATTACTATCCGCGCAGAAAAAAGTGAAAGTGCTTCTACGAGTGTGAAAGATACGATCCTAGACATTCGATTCCTGCTGATATTGAAACATGTAAATTGAAAAAGATGAAATGGGAAAGTTGTCCATAACTTTGAGATGTAAATGAAGGAAATACATAGGTGTAGAATCGTGAAAGAAAGATTTCCTGACACTGGAGTTTTTGGCTAAAAGATTAGCCTTCCATACGTAAATATATATTTTTTTTATATTCTATACGTAAAATGAACTTTTATTTTGTAATCCTTTACTAATTTTGTTTACATTAAATAAAATATAGCATTATTTTATAATACAAGTTTCTAGTACATACCAAATATATTTGTATTAAGAATTTTAGAAAGGATATCTCTTAATTTTTTTTCAATACCATGTTACTACTTAATATACAAAATGCAAAATGGATATGACTTACCTGACTTTGTCCAACTCGATACAAAGCTGGATCGACATCAATGGTGAGCATCATATCTTCTACAGCACGACGTTCATCAGCTACAGGACTGCCTGGTCGTGTGTTCACATCACTTGACAATAAACCGAATCGTCTTCTGAATTCACCTAAAGCTATATGCTTAGGGAATCCCACTTTATGTAATCGAACCGCATCAATTATTTGGCTTCCACGAATCTGTAACAAAAAATTAAGAGAAATTAATATTATTAAAAGTCGGTACTAAGTAAAATTTAATCATTATATTACTAATTGCTTTAATTTTTGCATTAACTATAATTGCTTAAGTAAAATTAAATTAATTAAGTTGATTACATCTTATTTACCTGTGATCGCAAAAGCGGTACATTAATAACACTATCCTCACTTTGATTTGACTTTACTGACAATAAACTCTTATTGTCAGTACACCCAGCATTGTGTTGCGGTAGTATACAATGGACAAATTTAACTCGTGTTCTCCGCAAAGTTTCAATCAGTCCGTCCTGTAACAAATCACTATGTCATCAACCATTTTACATAGAAAATTATAACTAATTTCAAAAAGAACTAGGTATTGCATCTTGCCTTTCTTATACCTAAAACGACAACAAAAGCAAACAGCAAAAAACACGAAGTGGTACCATAATAATTTCAATTCAATGAACATTTTCAACTTTATTAGACGTATCTCATTTATACAGCGAAAACTAGTTTGGTTTCACTGATAAATTTATGTCAATTGAGTCACTATTTCAAGATAACACAACATGTAACATGACATATAACCTCCATTCCATGACATATACCTACACATTCATGAAAATCTTAATACTCTCAGATAACGATTTATGGAATATTTATTAATTATCAACAGTAATGTTATGAACTTCATACTTACAACAGTGAATTTAACTTGAAGACATATATTCTTTCTTTTAACGGCAGTGAATGTTCGTCGTATACTAGAAGCTCGTCTTAAAGATTGTGAACCTTCCAAGCCAGGCATGGAACTGCATAAAGTTCCAGAAACTCCGGCTCCACGTGCACTAACAAACAGCATATTCACATCTTCCCTGATACCAACATAAAGAGTATAATATTAGTTACCAAAGTAGTTACAGTTAGGAAATTACAATTAATAAAGATCCATTTATTATTTTAATCCAAATAACTAATGAAAAGTGTGTAAACGTGGCATATTTGAAAATTAAAAAGATAAAAACATATAAATGGTTACCTTGTACTTTCTTGAAGTATCGTAATGGCACTTTTAGTAACAGGATTTTCTCTTGTTGCCTTCAGCCAGCCTGTTGCTGTATAAAGTACGGGATTAGTACCCAACAAATGTTGTAAGACAAACTGATTGTTCCCAGGTGCTTTTCTTAGCAATATTTGATGATCTGTAAAAGAGAAATAGAATGAAAAAAATAAGTAAAACTCTGATAACCTAGGTTATTTATTTCCAAGTGCAAACAAATTTAGATACCTCTATCTCCGTAATGAGAAAACAATCGATCTAAAAATGTTTCGTCGCTACCACCAGGACATACTGTTTCTTCGTCTAACAGCCACAGAAGACCCTTTCGTTCCATTTGTCTACTTCCACTAAGGTCACTTTGGCTAGTTCGCAACATCGTCGCACCTTGCGAACTTCCACGATCTAACAGCGAAATCAAACCCTGAGGTGATCCAATTCCATCTTCGTCGCAGTCATCTTCGTAATCTACGTCAATTCCTTCTTGGACGTACCTTAATTATACGAATGAATTCAATAATAATATTATATATCGTATGCAATGGATCTGAGATTTTTCTAAGTTTCTATTCTTTTGCTTCTTTGTAAAATTTTTATTTAATTTCATCTCTAAACTATTAACAGTTATACACTATTAACTCTAAACTATTAACAGAATATAAACTATTAATTTATAATCTATTTCTTTATTCTTCGTTATTATCTATTGCTAAATTACTACGTTTTACTAAATTATATTTGAGACATCGTTACCGAAAATATTCTCATAATAAGTTGTAGCACACACTATCTTCGTAAGGACAAATATATTGGAAATATTTTTAATCGATTTTTCTTCCATTTCTCTCGGTATTTTCAGAAAAAATTAAAATATCACACCACTTTTGCTTGCGAGCGCGGGAAGAAAGAACAGGAAGTATGTAACATACTTTAATGGAGTATCGACATCGATATTCGATATGTCGATATATATCGAATTATTGAATTTAAAATAAAGAATGTTTCTATATTTAACTTTTGGTTAATATTTTAACATTAAATTAAATAATTTTTAATTTTTTATTTAATTTTACTACTACTACAATCTTAATTATTATCAAACATAACCTAATAACAGTATTTAAAGATTAAATTTAAAGATAACCTATATATTATGTTCTACATTAATTAATGGAATAATCACATAAAATAATTTTAAATGAAATTATATCCATTGCAAATGAAAATCAATATTAATCATAATACATATAAAATAAAGTATTTTCATCAAATGCAATGAATTGTATTACAATGTACCTGTCCTTCGGTGCCACCAGTGTCGTATGATGAAACAGCAGCTGCAGCCTTTCCTGCAAGTAATTGTGACACAAATCTTCAAAACAGGCTCCAGTTTGTCGACCACAGGAGGCTGGATTCTGAAAACCTGGCGAGTCACACAATAACAAAGACGACACTGTGTGCACAGAGGATGATATGGATCTGCGAACGAATAAAGAACGAGTTTATCATCATTACTTTCACTTTATCAACATTTAATTACAAAAGGGACAAACCGATTGATGAGAGCAGCTACACAATGGAACACTTCGGAATAAAGTCCAATCAAAAGACCTTCTAAAGCATCTAGTCCCATAATATCTTTGCTTTGTTCCGTAGGACTCGGTGTACGTAAAGCAGGTCTCGGAGTACTTGGTGTGCCAGCACCACCTCCGTTGGAAGAGAACACTATTCTACTCAATTCCTCAACGGTAGTACCCAATAACGTTGCAGCTTTCTCTGCACATTCGACTCTTGCGAACTGCCATCGACTTTGCGAACTGGTGCCAGCTTTAACCGCACCAGCACAGCTCAGATGATATATGCCAGCGAGGACCAGCCAAATGACTTTCTCGTCCGCCTCGGAAACACCAAGAATCCTAAAAGCGGCCACGATTCGATTAAACTCGACCATAGCACGCTGCTTGTCCTCGTGCTTCTGCAAAGGTGTAATGAACGCATTGTTCTCTGCGACTAGATTTGTCAAGTGCAATTCCTTTCTAAGTGCACCCTCCGCGCCTGCCAGTAAACGATAAATCGCATGAAAAGTTGGATCGCCATTCGCTCTTCTGCCTATCCTCGACTTCTCCAAAAGTAGGACCTTGCGAATAAAATAAAAAATAAAATTGTATATCTTACATATTTTATTTAAAATTATTGTATAATTATTCACAGAGTTGTAAGGTATATTGCAAAATAAAATGATAAAATAGAGAACTTGAAAATGAAAAATAATTTATCAAGTTCTTTTAATATGTTCCACTTTTCAAAAGGAGTTCATTCGATCGATTGTGCTCTTTATTAAGGGCGTTACACCCTGAAGCCATAGCATTAACATAGTAAAAGAATTCTCCATCTTTTATATAACTTAAATTTTAGTTTTTTAAAGAACATAACATAAACAACTGCATAAATTAAATAATTTTACAATTTTACAATAATGAATAAAATATATTATTAACTTTATTTGCATTTCATGAAATAAAACACAGTTGTATAAAACGATTACTATAATTGTATTACCTGCAAAGAAGCCGACGCTATTTGCCCTGATTGATCAAAGTCCAGACTGAAGAGCTGTGTAAAACGCGTAGCATTGGAATTCATGTGTGTTCTACTGTTTCCAAACGCTTCCAGGACTGTGAATAGGGCGTTGAGTTTCTCAATAGTCAAGATCTTTAAACAAAACAGACAGAATTTCAAAATAATTGGAAAAAATAAAATTTTCTTGTAAATGAAAAATTTACAAATTTTGCACCTTTTTAAAAGTGAGTTTTCTTTATTACAAAGATACATTGATTACTTATTAAATTATAAAATGATTGACCTACCTTGTTAACTGTGCCTGCAGCCAACACAAGATAATGAAGAGCATGTTTAAAGTTTGTTGTTTTGCCTGATCCACTACGGCCAAGGAAAACTAAGGAATGATCTCTTCGAGTTGCTAACATCCCTCTGTAAGCTGCTTGCGCCATCGCGTAAATATGGGGTGGCATATCCTCGCTTTTGCATCCTCTAAACATATGTGCTACCTGAGAGATGAGAGAATAATGTAGTTCAGGAAAATTTCATTTGAAAGATAGTTTCAAAAAATAATCTAACAAATCCTAATTAGAAGTGGCATTAAATTAAAGATTAAAAGCAAAGAATGTTCAATTTATTCTCATTTCGTATTGAACCGTAAAGCAATTTCGCTAAATGGCAAAAGGAAATAAACCGACGCATAAACGTCACTTGCCTTTTCTGAGTAAATGGCCAATGGCGCCACCGGATTGATAATGATCATGCTATCTCCCGCGTAAGTGTGTATTAAATTACTGGCGTAACGTTGTCTCAGTGAGTGGAGAACAGAAGATTCATTGAGAAAACGTAATTGCGAGAGCTCCTCGGCCTTGTCAAACTGGGGGGGATTGGCCTGTGAAAAGAAAAAAGAATAAATGATTGGTTTGATTTAACCTACTTGTTAAAGGATCGCGCTTCTACGTTACGAGTCTTCGTAATAACTAGACTGCGGATGCTTATACATTCATGGCAAATATAAACATGCAAGAATATGTAAAACATTCGAACTGAAGTAATCATTATGCTATTTAAAAGGGAAAATATTCCACTAGTAAAAATAAAAGTTTGCATAAAAATTCGTAGTCTGATAATAATATTTATTTTTTTGTTTCTACATTTTAAACACTTTAAATATTCTAAATTTAAATATTTTGATATTACAAAAATCGATATTTGATATTAAGTAAATTTAACGAACTGAAACCTTTTCAACATCCTCTTCGTCGACAAGAAGTTCCTCGCCGGAAGTGGTTAAACGAATCCTTAGCTTTCCCGTGTCCGGATCTGCCGGACCACACTTCGTTGCAGGAGTAAATCCACCTCGATGTAATAGCCAAATTCTTTCGGAACTCAGCCATGCCTGTTCTTGCGCCAGATGCTCCTCGGACCGTGCCTATTCAACAAAAAAAGAAAAAGAAAAAAAGAAAAGAAATTAAATTCTATAATTCTCTAATATTTTCAATTTTGTTTAAACTACACTCGGATTATTTAATTACAGAATTATACAATTATCAATGTTCATTATATCATTTTGCACATATGTATTTCTTCCAGTTTCCTACGTTGTCACACGTCAAAAAGAAAGTATTTATTTGCTCACCCACGAGTTATTTAGATTAAAACGCTGGTCGTACTTGAGAATCGATGTTGAATGAATTACATCATTGATTAGGAAAATGTATTTCAACCTTGAGATTCAACCTACGATCTATCCACCAAATAGCAAGCAGAAATCTGCAGTTTCTATGTCAAATTAGCATGTATAATCTTTCTAAAAAGAAAATTATACATTTCTAAAAATTACAGAAAATCTTTAATTTCATTTTTTAAAAATTTTTTTTTTTTTTTTTTTTTTTTTTTTCTTTTTTTTAAGCTGCACGTTCAGAAAGCTTTTGTCCCCGATTTTCAAAACAGATTTATCTATAATTTAACATTCTACTAAGAAACTGTCAATAATTTACAAAAATGGCTTGCGACATTTTTAACCGGTAACATCATTCTGAACGGCAATACTTTTAGAAAAAATAAGAAACTGTCGTTTAAATTATCAACATCCTTGAGAATTTCTGCGTTATTAGTACCGGTTTTGTACGCCTAATACTATCAATTTGCATACTATCTTTGCTTGCCTGACCTTAATCAAGTAGAACACTTTTAAAATTCAAGGTTTACAAAAATCTGGTGTAGCAGCTACCAATTCAGGGTGGGGGATCAATCCTAATTTTCAGAAACATCATCGATACCTCCATTCTATCTCCTCCTCGTTGAATAATAAAATTTCACGAACTTCTATATCCGCCTTAAGATTTGTATAATAATGAATCGATGATCTTCATCTCTACGGTAAATAGAATTTATTTTATAAAGTTTCATAAAATGTACGTAAAAAAAAGAAAAAAAGGAATGACATCATATGTTTTAACGATCCTAGTTTGGGATCTCTCCCTTTTGCTTTCAAACTCTCCCTAAACTTCATTTTCACGATTAATTGACACGGAGCGTGTGAACGTCGCCGGGTTCGATAACGATTCCCCTAATTTCGTGAATCACGCGGCGAGTTGCAGCCGTAAGTGCACGCACACCGATTTCCGCGTGTCGTGTCAGCCGTTTTGCTAGAAAGCGTACTGACTTGTTCTATTCTACCATGTAAGAACGACGGCTCATACGACTTCCTGGTAATAAATTACCATGAATCAGGGCCCCAGGCTCCACCGTGTACAACGATCGCATTGTTTCGTGAAACAAACAGAACACGGCATGCCTTCGAACACGAGAGATCCTAAATGGGAAAATTACAAGATTACGAATGCGCTGGCCTTTTATCTGTTTCATGCTGCAACAACTAACCTATCTATTTTTGTCTGATTTGCTACAATTATACCTTGTCAATAATTAGGCACGGAAAAGAACGTTTAACACGTACATACAGATTGGATTTGAATTGGATGCACATTTTTATCTACCCAACACAGTATTATTTATTTTTAACTCAATCAAAGGATCAAAGGAAAATTTCATTGCCATATTGTAAATATTTTAATTTCTTGGAATTTCATAAAACCATAGAATTTAGGTAGAAAAAATAATAGTGAAAAAGTATTAAGCGAATCCTCGATATATTTCTGATTCTCTCTGTTAGACAACGATATCTACGCTACGAGTCCATAAATATACCGACAACAGGTCGAGAACGTTTGAGAACGAGCATTCGTATTTGTCAGAACACGTGTGTCCCTCAGGCCTTGTTACATAAACATTGATATAGGAGTATTAATCAATTAAGTTTGTGCAACAAAGACTATACAAGGTACTAATGTGATATAAATTTTATTAAGAAATACATGCGTAGTTTAAAGTTAGACTGAACGTCGCAATTTCGTTTGGCAAAGGCTACTCCAAGATTTTTGGGCACGCATATATATATTGCTCTAAGATAGGCATGTACCCTTCGTTAAACGCCTTCGAAACATCCACCATTTTACCGATTATGAATAGCCGCATTCATCGGCTCTAGGAATCCCCTATCGCTGCGCAATCGTAATTTCCATACACGGCTCACCCAATCCTTCGCGCGGCACGCACAGAGAAAGAGAGATAGAACCACTCCAACTCTCGTTTCCGAAGGCGTGCCGATAATGACATACCTCGACTGTTTGCGGCGGTAGTCTATTCTGCAGAAGCACCTCCAGGCGTTTCATGCACTCCCCCGCTCCGTTCATCGTTTCACCATCCACCCTTCGACGATCCACGGCCTCGTCCACCACATCCTCGCCGCTCCGTCTTCTCTTCCCTTTCCCATAGCCAATCTTTTTCGCAAGAGCCATCTCCACGATCTCCTCCCACTCGATGATATCCTCGATCGGTTTCGAACTCCTTTGAAACGCGGCGTTCTTCCGGTTCCTCTTCTGCGAGCCATTGTTCCACCCTTTCAACGAAGATCCTCTCAATCCGAGGATCCTAAAGTCACCAGACTTGCCACTGGGCACCCTCTGCTCGACCTCCGCTGTGATCCTCCTCCACTTCCGCTCCCTAGGTGTTTTGATCACGCTGCTGTCGTCCCAACCTTCTTCCATTCGCTTGACCCTGTCGTCGATCGTACTCACCCTCAACGTGTCCGCCCAACTCTCTTTCTTTCGATCTCTATCTTTCACCCCGGCCTTTGCCAACGCGGAAGACACGTGTACAGTTCTGTTAGCTTTCTTCTTGCAGCTAGCGTTTGCGCCATTAACTGGCTTGACAGTGGTACGAATAGACATGCCCGATGGAGGACGATCGTCGTTATTCGTGCTGGCGAACGCATTCTCGCGGCCAGCTTCCGAAGAGTGCAAGCTGTCGCTGTCGCTGCACTCCCAAGAGCTGGTGCCATTTCTGCTGATCTTTCTGTTGGGAAATTTTGTCGCAACCGAGGCTTCGTCTACCAGGCCGATCGAGTTCCGTTCTTTCGGGAACCTGGTGGCAGGAAAGGAGATGGTCGCGCGACGATTGCTTTGTTTCGCTATTCCATTCCCGTGAGCTTTGCCGCGACACGATCTATGAAGCAAGTGATGCGCTCTCAGGGACTCTTCGTCGACCTTGTTTAGAGGCATCTCGATAGAAAAGAGGCGAACCGACAGACAGTTCTTTTCGGTCTGTTTTCTCGTTTCTTTTTTTGTCCTCTCGCTTTCACGCCGTATAATTATATCCTTCTTCGAGCTACGAGATCATCCGGTCCCACGAACCGATTCAACCGCGCTTCTTTTCCCGCCGAAACAAAGTTTCGCAGTTACCCAGCGAGTTTAGCGAATATCGGCATAGACCTGGTTTTTACTCGGGTAAAAGTGGAGACGCGATCTTAACGCTGATATTCGTTTGACGATCTGATACCAGTAGCTGATGCGCGTTGCTTTTGTTCTTTTATTTGTTATTTCGTATGCTCTCCGCGTACGATGTTAGAATGTACGAAGAAGATCTTGTTTATTATATTTTGTGACATCAACTTGAATCATGTCCGATTAAAAATACGACAATTATCTTCAGAATGAATGAGTGAAAATTATCTTCAGTTCATTGATCGTTTGACACGTATGTTTGATGTATGTTTCTCGTTGTTCATATCTGACGTTCAAACAGTCCAAGATACTTGAGATTGTACTATCGTTTTTCAGATTTTATAGAACAATTCAATGATTTTATGATTTAGAGGAGATATTTTTTAAAAAGTTTGCAAAATCAACAATTATTCACTGCACTGACATGCGAATTACTCTTCTCCTGATGCTCCAAACGCAATATCATCTTACACATCCGAACCTAAACACTCTTTCATTAGCAAGGAAAATGCGATAGAACTGAGCACCTGACACATTCGTCGCCAAATCCAAAGCAAATCGAACAACGAGCTTCCTCGACGTCGCATCCGAGAGACTGTACCACGAACATCTATACACGGGCACAAAACCGGAAACCAAATCAACATGAAACACTCTAATTACTTGACGTTCAAAAAGATGACGAATTTTAATAGCATGTTGGCGAAGAAAGTTCGGAGAGCCTCGAAAATTAGACACCGGGCCGAATCGTCATTTGTTTTCAGTTTCGAACAATGAGTGAACCGCTTCGAGGGAAGGAAAGGGCGGACAGAGAAGAAAGCAGGGCTCCTCCATTACGAGGAGCACGTCGAGCACACCGAGTCTCAACTGCGGCACACAAGAGACGGCGGTGGTATCCCGAGACCGAAGCAGATCAAAAAGAAACGAAAGAGGCAGGCGTGCTCCCACGACTGAGGCGTTCCTTCTCTGCTAAGCGACGTCTTTCTCTCGTTGCCTCCCTTCTTCTCGTTCTGTCTCCGTCTCCGTCTCCGTCTCCGTCTCCGTCTCCGTCACCGTCACCGTCACCGTCACCGTCGCCGTCGCCGTCGCCGTGCACCAACTCTTTCACCTCGCACGTTCGCGTGTCCTCGTCATTTTCCTCCGCAAATCAGACTTTTGCCGATTATATTTATCGATCGATTCTATATCCGTGGAAAGAAATATTCGCACAGCAAATTACTAGCTTCTTCTAGCGACCGATCGGAGATTCGTTGGTCGCTTTCAGTCTTGATCACCTTCGATATTTAGTTTCTACTTAGGTTAGAGCTATATGCTACCGCCGCGCACCTGATCGCACGTGCGAACATTGTACACGGTGTAAAATTTCAAACGAGAGACTGTATACTTGCACACGAAAGAGTACGACTGGGGATTTAATCGCCGATTCTTTTAACAACGAGTGAAAATTCTTTGACACGAAAAATGAGAAAATTTGTAACTGAATGGGATCTAGGGTTAAACTACGAAAGAATACTGAATTTTGGAATTTTGGAATTTTACTTCCAATCTCTGTCGCGAATAATGCAAAATACAAAGTCCAAAATTT